AACAAACTGATTATGTGGAGTTTCTGACTAACTAAAGTTGAATATTGATTAATGTCCATTAGTTTACTGTTTATTTAGTTCGTTTTTTAATATTAAGTCTTGTACTGTGTCATATGTCCTTGTTAGTTTTCATTATATTTAGTCTAGCTCGTCCTGTTTTTTTCAATGACTCAAGGTCTGGGCATTTTAGTCTTATCTGAATCAAAGAAAACCGTAACTGTTGTAATAGAGTTTTATTCAATAAATTAAATGTTTGGTCTTTTTTTAGTCATCAGATTTTATTTAACAAAGCAGTCGATCTAGTCCAGCCAAAGAGTGACCATGGTTTCCTTTTAACAAAGCCCTGTTGCTGTCATTTAACCTTAAGAAAGTAAGTTATGGAGTCATCCTGACTGTAGTCCTGATATGGCAGCACAGCACAGGACAGGACACAGAACAGCTGCATTGAAGAGAAATAAAACAGTCTTTGATTTTTTGTCTTCTGTTTTATGTCAACGAAAATAAAATGAGATTTCGATAAAGCTTTTTTTGTCTTCTTTTTCATCAACACTACTGCGTGTTGTTAGAGTTACAGTGAGTGTTTGATTATGTCACTACAGTCATGTCAATGTCCTGTCTTATTCACGGTCGAACATATTAAGCCACAATTTTTACTCTTACATGTTTCCTTTAGTAAACCCATTTCCTAATTCCCACCCTAACTTCTCTCCTTTTCCGACCCTTGTCTCCTCTCCTTCATCTCCTCTGTTATTTTGATGTATCTGAAGCAGAGCCAAATCAGAGTGTACCACTTGTGGGCCTCTCAGTCACACCCTCTCCACTCTTTAACTTCTTAGAACCAATTAAGTGACAGGCTATAGGCGTAGAAGAGATAATACTCTTCTGAATTATTCATCCCACCTAACCCCCTCTACCCCATGTTCCTGTTCTTTCTGACTTTGTCCAGACCGCTAACATCTTCTTCTCTTCTTACTATTCCCAATTGTCAATCCTGTCTCTCACTTGCCTCTCCCTTAGACTAGGTACTTTCTTAAAATCAGGGTATTACTGAGACACATTCAATTCTACAAAAAGTTAAAAAACCTTGTATTGTATAGAGATCTCTGAGAAAATGACCCAATGTATGAATTTATGTATTACCACAGAAAACATTGTCCTGACAAGTTTGTGGTCCACATGTCGCTACCTTGATTGATGAGTCGCTATCACATGTCAGCTTTCTGAAACTGCATTCTAATTCAGCGGTTAATTGTTTACACTAAGACAAAACACTACATGGTCTGGCCAAAATCCCAAATGATTGATTTGGAAGCCCTATAAAGTAGCAGAGAGAGAGAAAAAGAGAGGGATTCATATTAACACAAGAAGTCAGTAGGTATCAGACATCGACATGGATAATGAGAAAATGGTGGGCAAGAGACACGAAGAGCTGGTTGAATAATGTATTGGACAGACGAGGGGACAGTGAGACGAAGAGAGCCAGAATGGAAAAGAGAGGGAGAGATGAGGTATCGTCTGTGAGGTCTCATCACACACTTGCTGACATTTCTTTAATCTCAGGGCCAAGAGAAGTCCAACCGACACACACAAAAGCACACGCAAACACACCCGTACAAACACACTCACATGTTGTGTGCATGGTAAACAATGATGCTGGCAAGTAAGAACATATTTACTGTGTTTGTTTGTGTGTGTGTGTGTGTGTGTGTGTGTGTGTGTGTGTGTGTGTGTGTGTGTGTGTGTGTGTGTGTTTTATTGCAAAGGGAGAAAAGTATGAAAGAAAAATCGGACAGGACTCCGGTGAAGAGAAGGAAGTTTGATGTGGCAAAACAGTGTTGTACATGTTTACGCTAAAAGAAAACATATTTTGAAATCATGAAACATTTGTATCATCAATAACCCTTCATCATAAGAAATCTTTCTTGTAAACTGTGGATGAAGTAATGTAAAGTGTGGCCAGAGCAGCAACAGAAGCTGAAGTAGATGTAGAAGACTTTGGAGATAGGGTAAGATGACCTTTGAACAAAGTTTCTCCCCCTCCTCCTCTCCTAGAGACGCCTGTTGACTTCATGTACTTGTAGTGTGCAATCAAAAGATAGAAAGAGGAGGATTAAAAAGAGAAACAGAAGGAAAAACCGACAAAGAGATGCAGCTGGAACAAAAAAGTGTAGTAAGTTCTAATGGAAATAGACTGAGGAAAGAGTGCAGAAAGGCAAAAAACACTAAACACTAAAAGGAACTGAAACAGTAACCATCGCACAGGAATAGGATATTACACTGCGCTCGAGTGATGTGATAAGCGTTTATGGCAGGAGGGGACCGAACGCAGTGAAAAATAGTCTCACAAGAGTGGCGGGCAGTCTGCGTAATTAAGGCCTCGTCGTTAACATTTGATTATTGTTATGCTCAGCCCACAATGCAATTGGCAAGGCTTTAACACACAGCGACAATCTCCATAAACCTACACATGGATGAATGCACACACATTTTGCAACAGTGCAGACGCCAATCAAGACCTTTTCCTGACAGCATGCACACTCAGCCACATGAGCAATGACACACACAGACACACGCGTATATACACACACATTGCAAAGCGCTTTCTGCAGGCCAGGCAGACCTTATAAATACGGTCCCACATTGTGATTTTGTTTGAGCTCTGTCTCCATGGTGCTGCTTCCTCACATGTTTATAGTGACTGCCGTTATAAATTAAAATGATCTTAACAACACTTAAGATGGGCCTTGCATGCGGGTGCAGCCAGGCAGGGACAACAGGAGAAAGACACAGAGACCTGGGCTATCCCGGGATCTAGACAGACAAGAGACAGACAACGAGCAGAGAGAGCAGGAAGAAGATGGAAATAGAGAGAAAATCTTGGTTTGCTCCAAACTGTAAGTTAGATTTAAAGCAGCTCTTGACAAAGGTATCCTAAAAACCTGAGGATGTCAGGGGTAGTTTTTGTGTGCCTCTGCAACCATGCACATTTGCCTGCACTGTCATGCAGCCTTCTCACCATGAAAACTATATGCACAGCGCTCACGTGCCAGATGGGGTAAAGTTACGAATACGTGCTCCGAGAATAAATCTCAAAACAGAAAAATACAGGTTGATGTACAAAAGTGTTTGAGACCTAAACCCACCACATACAGATGATGATCATCTTTGACTTTTATATAGCTTGGAGCTTATAACGAACTTTAAACATGCATCTTATAGCTCTAGATTTAAAACGTATAGGTATATTAGCCCTTTGTATGTATATGTGGCAAGTCAATGAGCAGGACTTATTTATGACAATATTGGATTTGTATGATTCGTCAGATGTTTTTTTGCTGAACTGGTAAAAAAAACAGACAAACAATTTCTCAATTGATTTTCCATAAAGTTCATAATTCCTCAGTTTGCAGCATATGATATCTGATATGAAATACCATACACCCTGGTAGAGAATTTCATCCATACTATCCATCACTCTTTCTGGTGAACATGTTGCTATACACCTACTTGAACCTGATATGGTCTATGGAGCCTTCTTTACAGCATTACCTTTTGATTATATTTAGATTTCTATCTCTGTCTTGCCTCAGTAGCTAAACTCATCATCTTTTAATTTATGATAACTAATGATGCCACAGAGTAGTTGTCAGATGGAGCATTGAAGGCCTTAATAGGGAGCAAGCTTTACCACATTTAGATTAACTATCAAGTTCATTCCTTATCAGCACTTAGCTACAGTTAGCTTCCACATTATTCAGCATCTGTAATCGGCGGGCTGCAGGTGCAACCACCCATTAGGGTCAGGCTGTGTGCTGTTGAGAGATAATGGCAAGGCTAAAGCTATTGATTTATTTCTGCCTGTGGTTATGGTCTACACAGACGTTGGCTACACACACCTTCCTAAGCACTTTATCACTCTAACTCATCCTGAACACCTTGACACAAAAACAACCTTCTTACATCTTTCATTCAACTCCTGCAATGTATAAATTACTTTTTGTAAAATCCAAAAGCCTGACTCTCCTCATTAGATTGACTTTATCAAATGTTATATAACGTCACTTTAGAAGCAGCCCTGCACATTCTGGCTCCGTATAGGATTACTTTTTTCTATGTGTGAGTATAAACAGTGCATGAGAAAAATAGTCTTGATACCTCTTGAAAATAAAAGTAAAAGCCGTGGACCATCGCAACTGCATGTGGGAAAACCATCCCTAATGTTGTGTGGATACTGTTGGGATGGTAACTGTACAAAAGTTGACAGTGTGGCCAAGCTGAGGACAGTTATCTGCCTTTGTATACAGACGTCTTTAATAGAGGTGTACTCACTGACGGGGCAACCATGCAACATTTACAGAGAGTGACGTTAGAGAGCAGCCTTCCCATGGCTTGTGACACAACACACTTCCAGTCAAGAGTCAGACTTCACTGGAATTGGCGTCCTAATTGTCCTGTTTCACCCAACAGCTGGGTTGCAGGGTTTTGACAGTCCAGTGTAACGTTGATTTAAAGTGCACCTATCATGCTATTTTTAGGCAATAGCATAGGTTTCAGATATATACAAATATATAAAAAACATGTCTATGAAGTGTTTTGCTCAAAATACCAAACAGATCACCCATTCTAGCCATGCCTCATATCCCTCTATTTCACTTCCTATTTAAAAAGTGCTTTTTATGTATAAAGCTTTAAAAGAAGAAAAACATTTATAGAAAAGAGGGGCGGAGTTTATGCTTGCTCATGCGGGAGATTATACCGGCAGATACTGCCGTGATGAAACGCCATATCATGGATTATCAAGGATTATTTCTGAAACAGTATGGAGCCCAAAGGCTTTCTCTCTTGCCGGTTATACCACAACAAGGTGAGTTCCTTTTTATTTCCTGCTTCTTCACACACATGCTCTGTGCAGTACAGGTTAGCTCTGAGTGTTAGCAATGCTAGTGTAAACACCGACCATATTACGTCCAAAACAGTCGGGCATTTTTTCTGATAGCAACCTTTCTGATAGTGCTGTGGGTCCGCCGCCAATATGACGTCATATCGGCCATAAATCTGGATCAGCTCCGTTGTACCCCCGTTTCTAGAGATTTGGGTACGGAGGAAAAGAGAGAGGGTTTTATTTTCTGATGCTGAGTGATTTCCCTGACACACCGGGGACACATATGTATATAAAAGACATCAAAAAGTGCATTTTGCATGATAGGTACCCTTTAAAGTAGGCCAGCGTGAGACTCAAAGCGACTTTACCGCAAAGTAAAATGAGAAAGCTCCCAGAACAGCCAGGCAGAGAGGTGTTGGGTGAAATTTTGCAGCGGAAATAGATGGAAGGAAATGTTGATCAATCAATACAATTATGGAGAAAACTAATTGTGAATAAGGACCACGCATTTAGAAAAGAGTTGTTTGTTATGTTAAAAACACAAGAGTACATGATCTATTGCAGCACAAATGTTTGTATTAGTTTCTAATTGCTATCCTCAAAAGTAATGTTATCCAACCTCATCATCATCACTGTATACACAGAAATGTGTCAGCAGCTAGGAAACACGTGTAGTTTAAACAATATAGTCTCATGAGAACTCACTGAGGATACACTGGCAAAACTCCCAGAAAATTTACAAAATCCCCCACCTGAGGTATTTTGTTTAAATGTATGACTGCTACAAGAAAATGACACAAAAATCTGTCAGTATTTGCGGCCCCTGTAGTGCTTCTACTTGAGCAGTCTCGCCACCTCTGCAGAAATTCGCAGATGCTATATATTGCAGAGAGACAGAGAGATGTAATAATAAGATATACAGTGTAAGGGAGACTGCCTCTGGATTTTCCTGGCTCTGAAAGCAGATCTGGACTGTCTTGACAATTAAAAATAAACTCTTGGCATTTCCCTTTGACCCTCCTCACTAAAATGCTACAGTATTCCTGGCCCGCCTCCACCACAATAACATTACATAAACACAGATTACGGCAGATTAGCAGGTGTCAACATCCCTCCTGATCAACCATCTGCAGGAAAATGAAACTGGACGATCGTCTGTGGCTCAAGGTCTCGGTTGAGCATGTGTGTTTTTTTAGACAGAATTTCCCCTTCAGCCTTTTTACATCTGCACTGTCAAGTAGTCAAACAACAGTAGTTTTTTTTCCCATCTATTGAAAAGTGTCTGTGTGGATATGTGTGTTTGCAGGTCATGTTCCCTGGTGAAAGTGAGCAAAGAGCAGGGCTGGATATTGGGGGGG